GCAAGAGCTTCAACCTCTTGGTAACTTTCCTTTGAGTCTATCTCTCTCATCCAATTCCTACGTTTTTCCTACGGTTCAATCAAACGGTTAGGGCTCCTTTGAATCGTAGGAATGAAAAAACGGAGGAATAGAAAAAATATAAGATTCTGATAGGAATGTAAGTGTAAAATAGAGGATTGCAAAACACAGGAAAAACATAGGAATGATCGTTTGATTGGACCACAGGAAAAACACAGGAATCGGATGAGAGAGATAGACTCAGGGCCCCTTTGAATCGTAGGAATGGAAAAATAGAGGAATAGGAAAAACACAGGATTCTGACAAGAATGTAGGTGTAAAACAGAGGATTGAAAAATACAGGAAAAACATAGGAATGACCGTTTGATTGGACCGCAGGAAAAACGCAGGAATCAGATGAGAGAGATAGACTCAAAGGAATTTTTCCAAGAGGTTGGACCTCTTGCTAACTTTCCTCCAAAATCTCTATAGGATTACCTATTCCATATGAATTTTAAAAGATAGTATAGGATTCAATCCTTTGTTTCAAAGGCTTTCATAAGAATTTTTTTCCATAGGATTGAAATCCTTCAAATTTCCTACACTTTTCCTACAAATCAAAGGGGCCCTCAAAAGATTTTTACCAAGAGGTTAGACCTCTTGCTAAGTTTCCTACAAAACATATATGCAACAAGCCATTCCATAGGAATTTTGTAGGATTTGGAAAACTTCAATCCTTTGAATCAAAGGGCTACATAGGAAAATTTCATGTAGGATTTTAATCCTATGAAATTCCTTCATAATTCCTGTGTTTTTCCTACATTTTGCAATCCTGTGTTTTACACTTGCATTCCTATCAAAATCCTACGTTTTTTCTATTTCTACGTTTTCTCAATCCTGCGATTCAAATGGGCCCTTAATACTTTTTGTTGACTTGGACTATCGCATACGCACTACATAGTGTTTGTAGCATAATTTGGCTAATATTTAGGCCCCCTTTGAGGGCCCCTTTGAATCGCAAGAACGAGAAAACATAGGAATAGGAAAAACATAGGATTTTGATAGGAATGTAAGTGTAAAACAGAGGATTGCAAAACACAGGAAAAACAGAGGAATTGTCGTTTGATTGGACCGCATGAAAAACGCAGGAATTAGAGGAGAGATAAATACTCAAAGGAAAGTTTCCAAGAGGTTTTACCTCATGTTAGAATTCCTCTAAAACTTGCATGGTATTAGTGTTGACAGAAAACACGAGGCCTGGGAGATCTGCTTAACTCCACTGCAGGTCCAAAGCTCGCCTTCGAATGTATGAGCATGCCAGTTGATTTGATCCTGTAATCAACAAGAAATAGAAGTAAAGAAACCACAGTTAAATCTATAAATGATAGCCGATCGGCTAGGTGCCGATGACATATCATTTATCTTTGAGCCGATGTCGTATATGCATCGATCGGCAGTCATTAATAAATAAGAAAGGACTGAATCTACTTGATCGGCTGCAGATATTACCAATATATAATCTTTATATCGATATATACTTAAATCAAGTGATTGGGATAGATCGGTCGCCATGCCGAGACAGTATAAATCACTTAGATCGAAATATATATTAATAATGAGACTATATACGTTTATAGCATAGCCGATCAGATAGATCTAGCATGTATCGGCTAATACTCCGATACCACTTTATATTAAGATATTAAAGCAAGTAGAATATACTAACCAACAGCCTAATATACTTAAATGCAGCAAGATCTTAACATAAAGGGCAGATTTAACATGTCAATCAAGCATATAAGATAAAAAGTAGTTAAATCAGGTAAGATCGGCTGAAACTCCGATACTACCCTAATCAGCAACCGAGAAGTAGGCTAGAGATTGAGATTCTAATCACGACTCATAAGATCAAACTTAACTGATACAGCTATAAGTATGAAAAGGACAATATCTAGACAATCAAGCCGTTGGATATGTCATAGAGTGGTAGATATCCTATATAATCTAAGTCAACATCGGTATTTAACTTAATCGGCTACCTTCTATTGACGGATGTTAGCCGATTGTAGGTTAGATATCAATATTGCCAGGGATTATGTAGGATATATGATAACTCGACGAATTACATAAGCAAGATTAGAGTGTCATAAAGATGGAAGCACTAATCCCGAGAACATAAGCCGTGATAACAAGTTTTACCTCTTGTTGAAGATCGAAACCGATGCAGCTCAACCCGAAAGCAAGAACTCGTCGAAATAAAACTAAAGCAAAAAAGGGTGGCAATGCGCCGAGATTGTATTGAACGTGTGTTCTTTTTAGTTACATAGGGTTCGGGGTCTATTTATACCCGAGAATTACAAGATATGTCCATACCGGACACGACTATTATCTCTGACAAACTCTAAGATACCATAAGTCTTTGCGGCAGACTTTTGCCCTAAGCATATCTCTAAGGAAATTACGTAAAACATCCTAATTAATAGATACAATTGCCTTCTCAGGACTCTCTCCATGTGCGGCAATCATCTTGAAGCATATCGACTCAACCCGATGTTGTACACCAAGTCGTATTGCCGGAATCAGTTGTATCACCTAACCCAGTCTGATTCAGATTTAGCCGATTCTAGTCGTAGCCGATCTAGACTCCAGCCGATTTCTTACTCTGTTCCCGCAACAATCCTTATCTCCGACTCCGCTTCGATCCCATCTTCACCTCCGACGCTGATATTACCAAATTTGGTTGTTAACAATTAGGCAATCCATAGGATTTTCATAGGATTCCATAAGATCCATTCCTTTGATTCAAAGGGCTATATAGGAAAAATTCCTATAGGAATGAAATCCTCTAAAATTCCTATGAATTTCGTTTGAATCAAAGGGGGCCTGAATTGGAGGAAAAACAAAGGAATTGAAATCCTACACTATTCATGCCTTTGATTCGTAGGAATGAGAAAAGGAAAAATATAGGAAACTTTCCTATTCCTACAATTCTAGAGCAAAAACATAGGAAAGTTAACATCAAAAATATAGGATTTTGATAGGAATGTAAGTGTAAAACATAGGATTGCAAAACGCAGGAAAAACACAGGAATGACCGTTTGATTGAACCGCAGGAAAAACACAGGAATTGGATGAGAGAGATAGACTCAAAGGAAAGTTACCAAGAGGTTCTACCTCATGTTAAATTTCCTCTAAAATTTGCATGGGAAGAGGCATTCCATAGGAATTTTATAGGATTTCATAGGATCCATTCCTTTGATTCAAAGGGCTATATAGGAAAAATTCCTATAGGAATAAAATCCTCTAAAATTCCTATGAATTTCCTTTGAATCAAAGGGGGCCTAACCTCTTGGAAATTTTCCTTGAGTCTATCTCTCTCATCTCATTTCTGTATTTTTCCTGTGGTCTAATCAAACGGTCATTTCTATATTTTTCCTATGTTTTGCAATCCTCTGTTTTACACTTGTATTCATATTAAAATCCTGTGTTTTTCCTATTCCTCTGTTTTTTCAATCATGCGATAAAGAGGCCAGATTATTTGGTTTAGCTATTTGAGTGGTTGGTTAAATGTACGTGGATTGTTGAGAGACTTAGCATTTATCCTGTGACATGGAGATATTATGGTTAGTTGCAGGTGAAAATTTGCTGCAGTTGGGGAGCTTTTGGGGCTGATGATCATATACGTGCAGTGGAGAAGTCTAGAGTGTTGCTGCTGGACTTTTCCCTTAATCGCTTGCGTGCGCGGGAACTGTATTAGCATGCATTGGTGTGCGGCTGCGTGAAGGATATGCTGCTGTGGCATCGGTTTGTAAACGATGCGGTATGATTAGCGCGTGTAGCTGCTAGGAAGATGGAGATAGATTTTCCATCTTATCAGTTTGTTTCCTTTTTGTTTGCACCTTGCTATTTTTGTGTTGGACCGATGACCATGCTACCCGTGTATATATGCGGGTGTACGGTTAATTGAGGGAGACCCCCGAACAAAATTATCAATCTACTATTTTCCTGTTATTTACTTTCCTGTTATTTTCTATTTTGTTTTCATGGCTGAGTTCTGGAAACCCTAAAATTTAGTTAATCTTTGCCGTTTTGCGCTGAAAAACAGTCGTGCTTCTCCACGAAAGCGAGAAGATTATCCTTTGCTAGTTTGCTCGGAAACTAGTCGTTCGTCGTCACGTAAGTACGATATTTATCCTCTTTACTAATTTGCTTGTAAATTAGTCGTGTGATTCCGCGAAAGTAAATTAATCTCGAAATCGGTTTCACTAGCCGATTTTAATCTATCGATTTTGACGACTCTATTGTTTACACCGCAAATCATTAGGTGATCTTATGTTGGCCACGAAAAAGCGTCAACACAGAGATGAAAAACCTCTTGGTTTGAATCCTATGAGGGGAGGTGTTTCATTTATCTGTAATTGTCATTTTCCTAAACTTTTTGGAGAACTGTTTATTTTCTTTTCGTCGGAAGGCTTCAAATACTTTTATTCACATGTTTGGAAGTTGGCTTGCTAGTTTTGACTCAACAAGAAAAAATATATATACTTGCAGCAGCGTCTGATTTATTTGGGTTCTATGAGTTCACAAGAATGATATGGGTTTTTTTATAGAACTCGATGTAAATCTTATGTGCAAATATTTTTCAGGGCAATTCCATTCTTATATATTTTTCTGATGAAAAGGCCCAGTCTAGATCGGGCCAAAAATTCATGTTGGCAACCACTAGACGGACCAGCCGATGGAAACAAGATAGGCTTGTTCCTGGGCCGACAACACCTACAAAATCCGTTGCTCTAAACAAGCCCCACCTCCACCCTTAAAGGCTTGGACAGTTATACTTCACAGGCACGTTTTGCACTCCTGTCTGAATTTGGAATCAACAAACAATAATAGATCATTTCAATCATTCTGTTGACACGGTTGCCGGGTAATCGTGAGCTGTGAGTCGTGAGTCGCCCAAAGTAAGCTTGTAATTTTTATGCCGTGGTTAACAGCAGAACACAAAAAGGAAAAGGGTGTACACGTTTTATTCAGAAATAATTATCAAATGTACAATCGAGTTTTCCACGAAGGAATATGCAAAAGCTGACATACAACGATTGGTAGATTACACACTTAAAACAGCCATATGCCTGTTGAGGCTTCGTGAATCAGGAGAGCCTCTGACCAAAAAAATGCCGGGTAAACAAAAACGAAAGAGAACAGCTACAACCTTAAAATGGAAGGGAGTAGCGAACAGCTCCAAGTAAAGGAGTATTACTCCGAGTTGAAGAATTGCAGTAGCAGTGAATAAGTTATGTCAAACACCGTTCAAATGCAGTGCTGTTATTTGAGGATCACATGTCCACCTTTGTTCAAAGCTGTCATCAATCTTTAAGAATCTCTGTTTCCTGTGATGTCATCAGGGAATGTGCATAATCTCCTGCCCAGGTTCATTCCATCATCTGTTTGCATGCCCTAAACTAAACCAGATCAGATTGGCTTAGATCTTACTTGTGAAAGTCCATATCTGATGTATGACATTACTCAACGGTCACTCCGACATTTGATTCTAGAGGAACTGTTATCTTTTGGTCTCGGCTGCGTACAAATTCTCAATGGATTGTGCACCCTGTTTGGATGAATCGATCCAAAAGGGTGACAATGCCACCACCTTCCCAATAATTATCAGAGTAGGAGAGACTAGATCCTCCGACTTGACTTCATTCACAAAATCCTTTAACATGGCGAATACCTACAACAAAAGAAATGTTCAGCACAGAAAACTGAAGCCACACACAATTTAAATGGTGAGGATCAATGCTCAGTACCATGCGTTGTTGGGGGGTAGTGCCACGCTCAACTGCAACAGCCGGTGTATCCGGTGGAAGACCATGCTTCATCAACTTGGGAGCAAGAGATGGCAGTGTTGACAAACCCATATACACAACTAAAGTTGTGTCAGGATCTGCTGCATTCTCTGCCACATATAGAGGATCTGGCCCACCATTTCTAGAGTGCCCAGTTAAAAATCTGACACTGCGACAAAGATTACATGTCAAGAACAAACTATTTATAAAGAATAGAACTAGTGGACATCGTTTAATTGGTATAAACAATATTAAATACAAAGCCAAACATCTAACATCCAAGAACTGAAGCCCCTAAATGGCAGAACAGTTCATTTTCAAATAAGGGAAATTATTATGCTTTTCTAAAGTTCTTCAGGCGTTAGAGTTAAGTGTTAGGACATCAGAACAGATAGATGACCACATGGAGCAATGGTGCCTACTGCCAAGTGCTTTCGACTTCCTGTGATCACATTCATGGTGAATTGTGGTGCTAAGATGTGTTTGAGAAGTATTTGCACATTAAAATAACACCAACAGGTCAGCAGAAAAAGTTGGCATCGATACAGGTTGAATATCATAGGTACATAAGTTGGCATGTCACAAGAAAGATAGGGGGTGAAAAAAATGGTAAGTTACCTGGTAGCAACACCTCTATGGGTTAGTGGAATGCCAAGTTCTGCTGCAATTCCTGAAGCTGATGTAATTCCTGCATTTTCATTCACACAATTCACATCTCAGTCACAAAAGGAAGTGCAGAGTATTCAAGCTACCATATAGTGATTGTTATACCTGGGATAACTTCAACTCTTATTCCTTGTTGTTGAAGGAAATCCATCTCTTCTCCACCCCTTCCAAAGACCTAAAAGATAACAAATAATAATTTTAGTGTTTATTAATGATGGGCAAAAGGTAGCATACCCCCTACATGGAAAATTAGGTCGGTCTTAGATGCCTATGTTCTCAGCATGTTATGCTTAGTGATGTGTGGCACACTGGACTAGTAGTTTTCAGCACCTTTGAAGGATTTGCATCGATATGTAATGTACACACAAATGGTGTGACTAATAATGCTGGGCATACGAAACTATAGGATGTTTCCAGTTACTACCGTGCACCTTCAAAAGACAAAATCGTTACTTTTTGCAGGTTACTTCATGAGAAGCATTTCTGTTTATACAACTGACAAAATCAATCAGAACAGGGATTGTTGATTTACATTGAAACAAGCGTGCGTGCTGCGTGCACACAAACACACACGCATAGAGAGTGAGAGAAGCAGCCTAAATAAAGTTCATTTCCTCTTCCTCTACTAATCGTTTCCTCTCCTAATTATTTCTATTTTGTGCCAGGATTAAGAACTTCTCTATGCAAAAAAGCCTAAAATCGTCTCCCAAACCAGAATTTAGCCTTTCTTCCAACTTATCTGTTGCTTTCCAGAACCGCAACTCAGAGCGAAAAAACTTTGATTTCTACAAAAGCGTGGACTGATAATAGTAAACACTGAAACAGTTTCCAACATAAATCCAGCATCTGAAATGATCAAGCCGTGACCAAAGTATGGATTACGACGAGTAATCCGTTAATCGCGAAAGGCATAAACAATAGCAACAGATGTTGTGCTTGCACGAGCGTGCACAGCCAAATTCCCAGGTCCTAGATAAGTTGCATTACATGAACAGTGTATTACCAGAGGGTCGCCGCCTTTCAACCGCACCACATTGGCACCAGCCTCTGCGAAGCTTAGTAGCAGCTCATGAATCTCTTCCTACATTTCGCAAACAGATATGGTTCACATTTCGCACGAACAACATTAAAAAAAAAACCTCAAATAGATAGATTTTGAGACAAATGAGACGAGCAATTGTTTACTACTCCTACCTGGGTGCGGCTGTGGTATCCGGCCGTCTTGCCGACGTAGAGCAGCCTGGCGCCCTCCCCGACCAAATCGAGCACGTCGTTGGAGACGAGGCGGTCGTAGAGCACCAAGTCCGCCGCCTCGATGGCCCGCACCGCCTTGAGCGTGAGCAGCTCCGGGTCACCGGGCCCCGTCCCCACCAGCGCCACCCTCCCGGGCCCGCCGCCGCCGCCCTCCCCTTCCGCCCCCCTCCCTCTCGACGCCCGCAGCGCCTCCAGCAGCCTCCTCAGCTCCGGCAGCTGCAGCGCGATCTCGTCGTCCCGGCGACCCGAAGAAGCCGCCGCCGCAGCCGCAGCAGCGGACGACGACGACGAATCGCCATCCGAGGCGGCGTAGGACCAGGCGTCGCGGCGGTACCGCGAGGAGGATGTGGCCTCGGTGAAGGGCGAAGCAGCAGCGGCGCAGATGATGGCGTGAGCGGAGGAGGAGGGCCGTGCGGCGAGAGCGGTGGTGGAGGCGGTTGACGCGGGAATGGGGGCGGGGAGAGGCTGGAAGCGCGGTGGTCGAAGGGCGAGCGCCATGGCGATGCCGGGATAGTTGTGGTGAGCTGATGGCCGTGGCACTTTTATACGGCGTGGGAGCAGCAGGAAGGAGGAGGAGGAGGAGAGCTGAAGCCGAGCGGAGTGGCTCGTCGACGTCGGGGGGTGCGGTTTTGGATGCGCGAAGGGGTGGAGGGAAAGGGGGGAGGAAGAGCCCCAGGACCAGGAGGGAGACGGCTGGATTGAAAAGTGGCGGCGACCTTGTGGAGCGCCGAAGGGCCAGGTTCAATGAACCGCTGCGGCACAGGAAGGGGGTTTTCCGTTGTGTTGTTTGGGGCGAAGGAGGCAGCGAAAGCCAAGTGGGAGTGCGGCTCTCGGCTGTGGGGCGCGCTGTGCGTGGCTGCCGCCGGGCATGAGGGCGGGTTCGCTCGTTTGCCGATGGCATCGTCATGGCTTGTGTCACTCGCTCACGCGCACCTATTCGGATTTCAGAGACATGCGAATCGCGATTTCTCAACAATGAAGATGGCTCAGGAGTCGGGGGTTCGCTGCTGATAATCCTAGGGAAGCTTTAGTTAAACTTGAACTGCTATCAGGTCAGGTGCTCAATGTTATTTATTCCACCTCGGTTTCATATTTTAAAATACTCTAGTTCTTTTTCATATTCAAATGTTTTTAAGTTTAAACATTTAGAACACCTAATTAATTTCATCAAATCTAATATTAAATATATTTTATAGCATGTTTGTTTTGTGCAGAAAGTATTGCTATGTTTGTTTATAAACTTGATAAACTTAAATATATTTAACTAGGAAAATATCAAAGTGTCTTATCATATTAAACAAAGGGAGTAGCCACTGTTTGTTTTTAGCCGCAACAAACTTTAAATTCTGAAGCTTTATAGTTTTTTCATCATAGTTTATTTTTAGGATTTGTTTTTAAATCTCCAAGAACATGAATATAGAAATTTTGCAATTAAATTATTTTTAGTTGCATAGTTATTATTCCGTGGCTTATTAGCCATAGATCAAACGATCAAAGCTTTACTCTCTTCATAATTCATCGGTTCAATAGATTAGTAATTATCGTTTATTTTGTTGTGCTTTAATTTTTCATTAAAGGTGCTTTAAGCAATGGTCAACATATATTGGAAAGTACACCACAGTAGCTGCTCTGAAATATGACCAATGCACGAATCTACCACTGGGTGTTTCAGTGACTTTGATTTTACAGAAATTCCTTGTACACTTTTTATGGCTAAAAGTCTGCAACCAACTATTACTTCTAAAAGAACGCAAGGACTGCCTGAATGTATACATTACTTTCCAAAGGGGTGGAAAACAATATCCTCTTCCTATTTGGAGTGCACTTATCTCCATCTGCAAGGTGGAACTAGGCGCCGACGGTCGACGGATCATTCTAACAACAATTCACAAGCAAACTTCTACCGTGAACATTTTCTTTTCCTGGAACTGCGCCACAAAACCTTTCTGTTGTCTAGTATATAATAGATGCATTGATTTGTGTTGTCTGTTGAGGTTCTTTTACCTATACAATGGGAATCTTAAGAAGTACAATTGAGAGGAAATACAGACATACGGAGATGGCAATCCCGGCAACAAAATTTTGATATAGACGATTGTTATCTCTGCTGGGAATAAAAGCTGACTTCAACACACCTGTCAGCTCAAACACTCTGTATGATATCTGCAGTGTTGACAATCAAATAAATATTCCTGGCAACTCTAGTTATATTGGAATTAAAATAAGGAATTCAGTTTTTCTTTTTTACTTACAAGAAGATATATTGCTGTAGCAAGCATAAAGTTGAGCAGTGGGTAACCCGGAATGAAAGAGAGAAGCCATTTTGGCTGCCCGTTAGGCATGTTAGACCTGTATGCATATAAGAATTCAGTGACAATCGAAAGAGACAAAACATCTTGATATGTAAGCACAAAACTGAAACTTTGGACGTGCACAGCCATCATTGCCAAAATCTAGGTTAATGATCCATCCAATGTTTCGTCCTGTGGACACTGCACCTCTGTCCAGTACTTCACATCATAAGCTTACCTTAAAGGCTTAAACAAGGATATAACGTTTTATGGTAGAGTTGCTACTGTAATACGTATTTAGTGGTGACTCTAATGATAGCAAATGTGAAAAGATAAATGTCCAGAATATCTGATGGAATCTCCCTACATCAGGTTCTCCATTGTGTCAAGATTCTACATGGAGAAGGTCATGTACCCTGCATCAACATGATGATGTCTAGGGCTCTAGCTTTTCATTGTGATCTTGAGATTCACTGCTCCAGTTTATCCATGTGAGAAATCGGAACAGTACGCAGGTTGAAGATGGATTTCCTTAGGATCACCAATTCCTAAAGAACTGGCACATCTTAAGTACTGAAAACCCAGTACTGGCTTGGCTACCGTTAAGTGACTTCCTACTTCTGCCTGATAAGCTAACATTTTCTGGAACTTACACTTTGACTACTTGTTTGAGCACTAAGAAAATCAGCATCTAAGTTATTAATATTATTCATGTTAAGAAAAAGCATGAAGGTCCAAAAAAAGGATTGGCATAATTCTGTCCATGACTTGCAAAAAGAACAGCTTTCTTAGAAGTCCAAAAGGAGTCCTGTTGCTAAAAAACAGAGATTTTTTAAGTTCTTACAGGAGTCGAATATTGACATAGCTGAACCATATCTCCTATTGAACAGTTGTGTCCAACAGGTTAATACAAACAAAGCCCAGAATTTAAAGCATTGCAGTCACAGACACAAAAGATAGGAGCACATACTGAACACAAAAGGCTAGCATCATACCTGAGCCAAATGTGGATCTGAGAGATATAGGTCTCCAGAGTAATCTTGCCAAGCCACCTATTGGTAAAAAGTATGTTATAAGTTTAGTCTGACAAAGTGAATCCACAGGAAATTAAATATAAAAAGTTTTAGGTTATAGTTTGAAAAGACTTACGCAAAAAGAGTTAAAGAGACGTTTCTAAGCTGCTGAGTGCAATTCCTTAGGGAGATATAAACACTGCATGGAAACCGTGGTATCATTAACACTGATACAAAAGCCCACATATATATTTTATGGCATATTTCTATACTCACGTGATAGGAATCCATGATGTGTACGGATGGTACTTGTTGTATGTAATTTTGTCTAGTTTGTAAATATACTCGTACCACAAATAGCCAGCCTGAGGTGGAGCAAAAAGGAATGGTTAATAAGCAGTCTACTCCGTGCATCATTGCTAATTTAATGTAGAGCACAGAGGGGACTTATGGATAATGCAACTTACCACCAAGGAAATACTAATGATGGTTCCCTTAATTGACAACCTAACCTTAGTTTCAGATTCTTCAAGCTTTTCCATCCATCTTTCAACCTGTATGACAGAGATCTACATTTCAAGCACTACTACTGATAGAAGAAAAATACCTGAAACCATAGCATAATGAATTGCATCCTACATAAACAATGATGGAGAAGGGCAGAAGGACAAAGACTCTACAGTGATATCAAATAAAAAACAGTCATCTGTGATCCTTGAAAACTTACATTTGGATGGAAGTAGGCATAGATCATTCCAATAATCCATATATAACGATCAAGGCCAGATCGGAAATGCCACTCATGCAACAGTGGTAAGTTTGCTTTTGAAGGCTCTGGGTCCTTGTAGCCTGCATCACAAAAGTACAAAACACATGTTAACATGATTTATCTAGGAATGGTAAGGAAAATGACACATCGAAATATAAGAATAACCAACCTAGCAGAAATGTAAATGGACTCCACAGCAGTTCAAATACACCAGGAATTTCCCATATCAAGATCACTGCTAAGAAGCAGCTGACAATCTTCATTGCCATCACTGAAGGTATCTCATTATACTTATTAAAGAGACCAAGGGACCCATATACCATAAGAGTAAACAAAGTGTGCATTGGGCATATGTAATAGAGCATGTAATCATTGTCAAGGACAATGCAGCAGAAAGCCACAAAAAAATTAAGTCTCCACATCATCTGCATTAGAAATATGGTTGTCAGTGTAAACCATGCATTAAATCAAGGAAATGAAAACATACTAAAGTATCATATAGAACAGATTGGGGTTAAAGATCAGAATGGCACCTGAGCAAATCTGGCAAGACTAAAGTCTTTCTTAATATAATAGTATGAGAAGTTCCCAAATCCAGTCATCCAGACATAGGCAGCAATGAAAACACGAATTGCATTGTATATTTCAGTGGCGGCAAAATAGTGGTACATTAAAAACAGGACCTGTAAACAGCAGGTGGAAAAGTTACAAATCTTACCTAAAAGTTGGCAAAAGACAGCAACTGAAAATAATGGTGACTGACATTATAAGGAAACTACCATTATGCCTGTGTGTTGTGAGTTTGTGACAGATCTCAAATGAATATAACATAGGTTCTGACTTTGAAAAACAATTATACTCTAATACAAAAAACTACATATACATATGCAAAATTTTAGTAAATTTTGCCCCTAAAATAAAATACAGCACTCAAATGTCTACATAAATTTATCCACGAAATTTCTTAGTTGAGGCTACATAGAGCACACCAACACCATCACCAATTCCAGTTTTTAAGGAGTAGATATATGCACCTCTGCAGATTGCAGAAAAACAGTACAAGATAATGATGTTTTCGCTAGCAACAGTCTAGTAAGATATACTAATATGTGGTTCTAAAGAAAGTTTAGTTCATACCGAACACATGCCAAATATACTACTGCATGTTCAAGCATATGTACTTGAAAATAACCTGACGGTACTATTGCAAAATAATACATAAATATTTTCAGCAGCATTAATTATAGCTGTGTATGATCCTGCGTGTCAGTGAACTAAACTGTATTCTACATGACATGAAGCACAGCTGTGTTAGTAGAAATGTAAGTTGAGCACAGCCATTCAGACTCAGTTTACAGATATAGTGGCAGCCTGATATGCAAAACTGTTCCCACCTTGTTTCCATCATCTCAACCAAAAAACCTTCAACTTATGAAACACTAGACATATCAATCAATGAATCCCCCCACCCCCGCAACACACACACACACACACAGACTGCTTTGGAATGGCCAATATATTTCTGGCAACTATAGACAGATCCCACTAGAAATACCAAATCCAGATAAACTGTCAGGAACTTGTCTAGGAAAAACTAACAAACCCACTCTTCAGATCTATTAGCATCAGATCTTTCAGAAAACATTTATTATGATCACCAA